ATTCCCCTCTTTCCGTTCTCCCCTGCTGCCTCCTTGAGGTGACCCAGGGTGAGTCCATGGCTCTTTAGGAGTTGTTCACTGTGGCAATGGCCGAGGAGGAGATCACAGACCACAGAGAGGCATCAGGGCTCAGTGCACTGCACTTTCCGGCAGTACCATGTGACTGTCTATGCTGGGATTTGGTTGGCTTTGTCTTGCTCTGTTTTATGGGTGTAATTGTTCTTATATCATCAGCTTGGCAGCATCTAAACTAATCTAGGGGACACACCTCTAGGCATGCCTGTGAGAGTTTCCAGACTGGGTTAAGTGATGATGTAGGAAGACCCACTCTGGATATTATTCCACGGGTTGACGTCCTGAACTGAATACTCTCTGCTTGTCCACTGTGGGGGTGACATCACCAGCTGCCTTCTGTTCCTGCAGCCACTGTCTTCCTGACCAAGGTATATTATACCCTCTTGAACTGTAAGAGAAAATAAACTTTAAAAAGTTTCTTCTTGTTGGGTACTTGACCTCAGCAACAAGGAAAGTATAACAGGGCTGTGTATCAAACCTGGGGCCTTGCCCATGCGAGCTGGGTATTCTACCACTAAACTACAGCCACAGTCCCACACCTGGCTGGTCTCTTAGTATCATACGGATGTTACGAGGTTCTTGCATGATCTTCAGTTCACAGATTAGGAGTGTGGTCCTCGGAGAGTTTACGGAGTGAGTCCATGGGTCACACGTGCAGAAATAAAAAGCTGAGATTGGAGACCTGCGCCCTACACCACACACAACGCTGCTTGAGCAAAGTCAAAGCTACGTCATGACTGAGAGCTTTGTAAGGAGTTTACAGGCAGCTGGTCACCACTGTGGGCCCTGTAGCAGGGACAGGGACCAATGGTGTCCCCCCTCCACCAACATAAAGGAGGACTATCAATTTCTGTACAGAAAGCAAAGGTGACCCCTAAGAAGACAACTTTAATTGCCACAAGGCCCAAGCTATCCTGACAAAAGGCCCGGTTGGCCCAGGGATTCGCTTTTCATCCTCAGGTAATGGGATTGTTTTTAGTAGCACGAATGAGCTCATTACAGATGCAGCCTGTGATAATAATGATAATTTGCTGCAAGGCAAAAATCACCTTTATACACCCCTCCCGGGCGACAGAAACTCATGGAAATTATAGGCTAGGGAGAAACAGAAAGGATGAGGACTAAGGAAAAGGATTTCAAAGCAGAACTGAGGAGACAAAGGGAATCACAGCCCTGAACCCTGAATGTGGTGCTCGTGACCTGGAAAAGAACAGACCGCTGACGAGATGAACGATCTCCACCTCATTACCTCTCCACTGGGGTCTTAAGGGTTTAAGTTTCAGCCATTTTTTAAAAGTTATTGCAAAACGAATTAGCCAAGAAATTAAATATTGACACAGGAGGTGAGAAATATGCTAGTTTGTCAACCCCTTCACGTCGCGGAAAAGACCCTGCTAGCCCAACACACCTACCTGCAAACTGTGTGTCCTGAGAAGGGCCAAGTAGACACCCTTCCCTTCCCACTCCCACTTTTCTTGTTCAGACTGTCTAGTGACGAGAGAGGCTGACAGAGAAGCAGAGGTCTGGGTCCCGTACCTCCAGGCAGCTGGGGGACCTGCTTCCTGGGTCCTGTGTGGGTTGTGGTCACTCCTTTAGAACCTGGAAGCATCTTAACTGATCTTGGAGTGTTCCTTCATCCCTCTGAGAGAATGCCAGCTGCCTTCTGCTGAGACATGGCTTTCTTTTTTCCTTAAACAAAAGCTCCAATATATTTTTAATTTTTTATGTATTCAGGCACACGTGTGTCACGGCACACTTGTGACGGTGAGAGGTGACAACCTATGGAGGATGCTTTTCTCCTTCCATATATGGGTCCCAGGGACTGGACTTAAGACACCAGGCTTGACAGCAGGACATTTATCCACTGAGCCATCATCTCCCTGGCCCTAAAATACCTTAAACCAATCCAGAAACTCTCCCCTAGCCCCTGGATGCTCTTCTCTCCCCACCCCCCAGAGAATTCAACTAAGCACTGTGCAGCAAGGATGACCTTGCTGTGTGAGGAGCTCCCAGAAAAAGCTGTCTCTGTGGGCTCAGTGAGTTTGCAAGTGTTTTGATGCCCATGGACAGATCTGTCCCCTCAGAGCTCCCTCTGATTTCTTCTGCATACCGACAACCGCCACATGAGATCAGACACCTGACCTGCAGCAGGAAAGACGCAGGAAGCTAATCTGACTGACTGAACTGTGTCCCTTAAACACAGGGACCTCAGAATACGACTGACTTAAAAACAGGGTCCTGCAGGTTTGACTAGTTAGGATGACATCAGGATGCAGCACAGTGGACTCCTATGCCAGTGTGGCCAGTGTTCCCAAGAGGCAGTGAACCTACAAACACACGGGAAGAGCCTGGCGATGGTGGCGCACGCCTTTAATCCCAGCACTCGGGAGGCAGAGGCAGGCGGATCTCTGTGAGTTCGAGACCAGCTCTGGTCTACAGAGCTAGTTCCAGGACAGGCTCCAAAGCCACAGAGAAATCCTGTCTTGAAAAAGAAAAAAAGAAAAAACAAACAAACAAACAAACAAACAAAAAAACACTGGAAGAATGGCATGTGACCAGAAGACAGAGACTGAAGATCTGCCGCAGGGTTTGAATGTGAAGCATCCTCCACAGGCTCCTGTGTTTTAACGCTGTCCCCACAGGGTGGCGCTATTTTGGACCGATGCAGAGCATTTAGGGGCGGAGCCCTCACTGGAGGAAGTGCGTCACCTTAGGGCGGGCCTTGAGATTTGATGTAGCCTGGCTGTTTCCTGTCTATTTCTGACTGACAATGCAATGTGTCTGACCACCTCATGTTCCCGCCTGCCATGCCTTCCCCACCATGATGAATGCTGAACCCCTGAACTGTGTCCACCTTTGAGTTGCTTTTTAGGTATTTGGTCCCAGCGACTGAAACCTACAGATTTGGACTTCCTGTGTGGTGAAGCCACCCAGCTGGGTGCTGCATTTAAACATCCCTGGTAATCTCACATAGCTGAGGTTTGCCAGCTGGAATCTCCCTGGTGATGTGGGATGTCTCTTTGTATGATGTGAATATGTTTTATAGCCATTAGTTAGTAAAGAAGATGCTTTGACCTGTGGCCGGGCAGAATAGAGCCAGGCAGGAAACCCAAGCAAAGACACATGGAGAAAGAAGGTGCAATTAGGGAGAGGCCAGCAGCTGTGGGAGAAGCAAGACGTGAGGTAACAAGCCAGGAGCCTCGTGGTAAAATATAGACTAGTAGAAATGGGTTCATTTAAACATAAGAGCTAGCCAGAAATAAGCCTAAGCCATTGGCCAAATAATTAAAATTAATATTAAGTCTCTGAATGGTTATTCAGGAACTGGTGGGCAGGAGAGAAGCCTCAAGTGACACCCTGGGAACTTGGATTATAAAAAACTGGAGTTGGAATAGGATTTCTGTACCAAGGTTGGGGGACAGGCTACCTCAGGACCCATGTTGACTGACAGACTGGTTAGAAGGATTGGTTAGGCTTTCGGAGAAGAGCCTGACCCAGTTACACAAGGGTACCTTGGTGTTAGGAGGAGACAGCCCTGGAATGGGCCCTTTACTAGGTCAACATATTGAAAATTACCATTACCCCTCACCCTCCCCAAAACAGAAAAAACTTATCAGGTTGAGAGGTAGCTTCTCTATTCAAAGATGGTCATGGGTGACATTGCCAATCACTCAGGGCACAGATAGTGGTTAAAGAATTATTATTAAATCTCCTCATTGCTCAAAGAGTGTGAAGGGCTGGTTCTGATGCAAACACAGCAGGCTTCTGAACTCCCTTAAGGCTCACATCTCTTTGGGAGGAGGCGGGATTCTATCCCTCTGCAAATTTCCTTGCTGAGGATGGGGGTTCCCCATACACATTCCTGCTGCATGACAGACTGGACCACTGAGCACAGCCACAGGTTCCAGGAGATTGGAAGTCCTCACCTGGGGATGTTTGACCTGGAAGAGAAAGCCTCCATATGAGCGACACACAGGTGACCCAGCTAAGCAGGGAGCTCAGAAGGAAACAGTGCCTCTCGAGCTTACCTGGCACAGAGGAGTCTTGGTATTCAGGTGGGAGACCGTGGCGCTGTGAGACTTTTGGAGACGCATCAGGAGGCTGTGCGGAGCTCACACTATATATTCTAAAGTAAGCAGAAAGCATGAAGTTACTCCTCATAGTAGGAGGTATAGCATACAGGTCCTGAGCAAGCGCAGTGTGCTTGTTCTAAACCTTACAATCCACCCCAGCGTTCAGAATTACCATCCCCATTTCACAGATGGTAAACTGAGACATGAGGGTGCTCCAGGGTCCCTGCCAGCTCCCTCCCTTTTAGCATCTTGAGAGCCTGGTTGGAAGTTCTAGAAGGGAGCACAGCAGATCAGTCCTCCTCTAGTGGGGGAGGGCTGTCCTCTTCAACAAAGCAAACTTCCAGAGGGATGCATGGGGGGGGGGGGGCAGCTGCCTAGCAGGGCGGATCTACCAAATCAACCCCGGGGCACTAGAGGCCATAACCAATCATCATCCTCATATTTTGTGGTTGTTTGTTTGATTGATTGATTGATTGATTGATTGATTTGAGACTGGGTCCATGTAGCCCTGGCTGTCCTGGAACTCAGTATGTAGATCAGGCCCTGATCTCACTTCTGCTGGGATTAAAGGTGTGCACCACCACGCCTGGCTTCCTTCAGCAGCTTGAGTCTTAGGCCAATGCTGAGACAGACAGTTCTGTCTGTCCTTCTGCTCCCAGCATAGAATACTCATGGCTCAGCTGGAGGGCATGGTGCAGGGCATGTTTGCCACAGGAAGGCCCTGTCACGACAAATGTGCACATTCTACACACCAGGTCAGTAGCAGTGCTGGGGTGGGGCGGGCCCCCCTGCCCCTGCTCCCACCCCCTCTGCTCCTTCCACCCTGCAGCTCACAGATAATGCCAGCTACACTTACTGATCATAAGGTTTCCGTCGTGCCCTCTTGGCCTGCTCCACCAGTTCCAGGAAGTCCTCGTAGCACTTTCTGGCCATGATGGTGTACCTTGTGGCACAGCCAAATTCAGTGACCTTGGCTCTGGGCAAGAAGCCTGCCCAGCCAGGGATGGGGGGCTCGTCCAGTGGTTTTTTCACATTCTTGCATTCTGCAAGGAGACAGCAGGGGTCCTGAGGATTTCAGAGCAGCCCAGTGGGAAGCACTCCCAAGCTCCCTGGCATATTAAAAGTTAACCCAAGAAACCCCCAGGCCACACAGAGATCTCCAGCTGTGAGCCAGTGGTCCTAGAAAAGGCTTCCCTCTGGTAGATATCTCATTTCATGCTTTCAGTAGCCACGGATACTTCCCGGGCAAGTCCTGAGACCTAGTCAGGAAGTGTAGGTCCAGGACACACTTAGAGTCCACCTGAAGCGCCATCAGGTCCTGGCGCTGACACTGACTGGCAGGGTGAACGCGGGTGCTGAAGAGTCAAATGAGGCCCCCAAGTCCCAGAATTCAAAGCTGAATGGCACCCTAGGGGACACTCGGTCCATCTCTCTCTGCACAGGAGCCAGGGGGGTAAACCAGTTTGCTTTAGGACACACAGCAAGTAACCATAGAGATGAGCTAAATTCTAAAACTTGGGCAGGGAGTCTTTGTCACATCTGTAGTATTTTAAAGCCCAGCAAGCATATAAATGATCATCTATTTTGGATAAGTTCCTAAACAATTTAGCATTAACAAGAAAGGCTATTAGCCTAGTGTGTGTGTATGTGTGTGTTGTGTGTGCACATGTGAGCATACCACAGTGCATTAGTGTACTTGTATGTGAGTGCACCCATGTACTTGTAGAGGCCAGAGGTCTACACCAAATGTCTTCTTTTGTTACTCTTGCCTTGTTTGTGTGAGGCTGGATATCTCAGTGATTCTAAAAACCAATTCAGCCATTCTAATCGGCCAACAAGCCCCTGAGATCTACCATGAGAGTACAGCCATGTACCACCATACCTGGTTTATTTACATGGGCTTTGGGGAGGAAGCAAGCAGGGCTTCACGCATGCGCAGTGAGTACGCTACAAACTGAACCATTCCCGGACCCTGCATGACTTTTCCTATAACCCTTTAGATATACACATAATCCAGGTCAAAGTCACATTAAATTAGTGCTGCGTCATCCGTCATTCAGTGTGAAGTCTCTTCCTGCAGAATTAGTACCTAAAGCTGGATTCAAACCTAGGACAGAAATCAGCACCCTTGCCGTGATCCCCGGGAGCCCTCCTGGAGCCTAACGGGAGCATCTCTAAGGGACTCTAAGAGCAGTCCCATCCTCACAGGGCTATTGTGTCTGCTCAGAGAACAATGAATCCAGCTCAGAGAAAACTCCCAAAGGGCAGCTACCGATTCACAAGCTGATGCTCAAAGTCCACTGGGACTTGTCTAGGCTTCTGAGGGGGATGCCAGCCTCCCCCAACTGCCCGGGGTGGGTCCCTTCTCCGCTACATCCACTATGCTTGGTTAGGTGCTCTTCCTGGCTGTACAACGGCCTGCTGGGATCTCACCGGACCAGGGCTGAGAGAAGCTGATGCAGGGGAGGCCGTACCCAGAGTCAGGGGGTGATACTTCTTGGCATACTCATGCAGCGTCCACAGCACTGTGTCCTCGGAGCAGATGGGCTTCAGGACCGGGGTGCGAGCCACACAGTAGTTCAGTTCCTGCTGCTGCTCCTTGTATCTCTGCGTCCTCTCCTGGAAGGCTTTCACACAGTGATTCATTTGGTCCTCGTTGGGGCTTCCTTGGCAACTGAGCCATGGTATGAAGCCTGAGAGGAAATCACAGCCCGAGTGAGGTAGCTGGCTACTGGCTGAGAGCCTGCCTCTGTACCCACCACCGCAGCCGCCCTCCACTTGGCTCTCCTCCACTGCCACCAACGCTGTATGTTTCCAAAGGCCATTAACACAAACGGTGTTGTTGTTTGCACCAGGGCTGGGTCCTCCCAAGGCTGCAGAAAAATGACCTTGGCGCTGGGGAGGGAAGGTCCACTCTGACAAAGGAGATGACAGCCACACACTTTGCTGGCAAAGCCCCCGTGTCAGGCTGAACAGCAAATGGGGAACGCGTTTAATGGGCCTAAATGATAGTCTGAGGGGTAATGGAAATTATCCATCTTTTTTTCTTTTTTGAGAGAAAGCTTATTTTCCTTGACACTTCCCAAATGCAATCTGGGATCTTTCTTGCCAGACCATAGAGAAATTGCAGGCCCATTAAAAGCAGAGACATGTAACACAAAAAGGTAAATTCATTATCTGCAAGACCCACCCCTAGGACAATTTTTCACCATTTCCCACAAAATAACATGTAATCATTACAATTAGAAACGGTAAAAACACGACTATTTATTCAAACAGGATGCGGAATCCTAAGTACTATAATACTGTCACAATAAAACCATTTTTAAAGAACAGATGAGGAAAACTGGTTAAGAACTTAGCGTTACGTGGACAGTAAATAAGTATCTCACAGTACTGAAGCTCGTTGTTTTTGTTTTTGGTGTTTTTTTTGGTTTTGTTTTTTTTTTTTTTTTTTTTTTTTTTTTTTTTTTNTTTTTTTTTTTTTTTTTTTTTTTTTTTGCCTTTGTTGCTTAAGAAAGAAAACCCGGCTTTGGAGCTGAATGTAGCAGCTCCAAGACTTGCACCCACAAGAACACGCCTTCTAGGAGAATCTAACAGACTGACCTGGACAGGACCGAAGTCACAGACCCCTCATCTGCTATGGTTTGAATGTAAAAGTGTCCCCACAGGCTCATGAGTTTGAAGCTTGGTCCCATGGGATTGTGGAAACATTAGGAGGTGGGGCCTGGCTGGAGGAAGGAAGTGGGCTGGAGGAAGTGGGCTGGAGGAGGGCTTTAGGGTTTATAGCCCAGCACCACTTCCTGTCCTCTCCCTGCTTCCTGTGTTGTGGCGCATTTAACTATGTAAAGGTGTGTCATGTTTGTTTATGCTGCATTTGTTTAATTATATAAAGCTGTGTTGCTGTTTCACTTTGCCTGCCTGAGGCACCTGATTGGTCTAATAAAAGCTGAACAGCCAACAGCTAGGCCAGAGAGGGATAGACGGGGCTGGCAGACAGAGAATAAATAGGTGGAGAAAGCTAGGCTCAAGAGGAAGAGGAGTGAGAGAAGAAGGAGAAAGAGGGGGATACTCCTGGGGCCAGAAGCCAAGCAGCTGTCAGCCAATCATAGAGACAGAGAAGGTATACAGAAAGGTTTAAAAAAACACACTGAGGTAAAATGTAGATAAAGAGAAACTGATTAAAATAAGAGCTAAGATAAGGCTGAGCATTCATAACTAGTAAGAAGTCTCCATGTCATGAAGTGGGAGCTGGTTAGTGGCCTGAAAGAAAAAGGCTGGTAAATCCTGGTCCATCAAAACATAAGGAGTCCCATCCACGAGCCTCCGCTACTGGGTCTTCGTGACCATGATGGGTTGTAGATCAAACTGTTGCCAAAATAAGTATCTTCTCCTTTATCAGGTGCTCAGTCACAGCAGCAAGGAACTCTAGACTATTTCCCCAACCTGTGGGTGATCAACATTGTCATGTCTATCATGTGATGTCATGGAGAGGGCCACAGAAACTGAAGGCCCTTTTTGTAGTGCTTCTCGACCACCAAGGCCTACTTTGATCTATACGTTTATGTATGTGTATGCATAAACATGGCACATACCTAGTTATACAGACATCTCAGTGAGTGAAGCATGCATATATTGGCTTCATGAATTATCACCATGACCATAGAGAGTACCCAATATGATATGGTGCATGGTAACCCCAAACAGACATATCCAAGTCCCTAATCCTAATACCCATGAGCATGATCTTCTGGGGAAATGTGGCCTTAGAAAACAGAATTAATGAGCTAAACACAAGATCATTCCACATTTAAGCTGTCCCTAAAGCCAAAGTGTCCTTATTGGGGGGGGGGGGGTAAGGCTGGAGACACTCAGACTTACAAACATGCATTTGAAAACTCAGTGTTGGGGCCAGCTGCCATTGTATAGAACTGATCCCTTGTATAAGGATGGTTATTCACAGTCTTGTAGACAGTGGGAAAAGGGAAGTGTGAAGCAAATCTGAACTGTTGGACTCCAAAGCACATTCTCTTATCTAGCTAGTGGGGCCAGGGTGAACCTGGGAAGCCTTGCAATGTTTTCATGCGTAGCCCTTATGTCCACTGAGCATGTCAGTTATAGGGACGTTCACGGTTCTCAGAAGTCTGAGAAGGAGGAGCCTTTAGAAATAGAGACCAGTGCTAACATGGGAGTGACCTAGGGCCTCTACACATATGTGACAGCTGTGTAGCTTGGTCTCCTTGTGGGAGTCCTAACAATGGAAGCAGGGGCTGTCCCTAACACTTTAGCTGACTCTTGGGAACCTATTTCTCATACAGGGTCTCCTTGCCCAACCTTAATACAAGGGAGGTGCTTAGTCTTATCCCAACTTGCTTTGCCAGGCTTTGTTGACACTCATGGGAGGGCTGCCCCTTTCTGAACAGAGACAGAGGAGGGGTGGGTTGGGGGGAGAATGAAGGGGAAGAAGGGAAAGGACTAGGAGGGAGGGGAAAATGCAGTTGGTGATGTAAAATAAATAAAAAGAAAAAAGAAATGGGGACCAACTGTCGTTGTTTGTCAAAGATGAAAGTGTTTCCTAGACATAGGCCTTCCAAGGCTGTGACCTCGACAGGGTAGGTGGCCAGTCTCCCTTTAGGAGGCATGGGAAAGAATGAAAAAGTAAGAACCACCTTTGTGGGAGACTTGGAAAAGCACAACTTGGGAAGGACAGAGGCCTAACTTATCCACCTTTGTCTACCAAAATGTCTATCCTCATCCACAAGCCACCCAGCAGATGTCAAATGCTTCCAGCAGGAACTCCTGAAGGATTTGGCCTAAGTATTTCTTCTCGGTTATCCAGGACTAGCTGTCACCTTCCTGCAGCACTGGGTCCTCTCACTGTGTCTTAGAAGCTGCGGTGCTTACACTGGTCCAGTTTGTGAGCATCCAGGCACAGCTGGCCCCGACCCTTGAGGACCTGGCAGAGGGGGTCACCCCTAGGTGCAAGGCAGGCAGAGTATCCTGCACCTTTAAAAGGCGAAACTCCACCTATGTCTTCCTCCTCCTCTTCCTCTTCCTCCTCTTCCTCCTAGTTCTCTTCCTGGTCCTCCCCCCCCCTCTCTCTCTCTCTCCCCTCCCCCCACAAGGCCACTCTGCTCCCTTTCTCTCTCCCTTCTCCCTTCCCATCTCCCAGTAAAACTCCCTACATAAGCTCTGTCTGCAAGGCATGTCTCGTAACACACAGACAAGGACCAAAACAAGCCAGGGACCAGAACCGCTGTTACGAATGCCACTTACCACTGTATCCTGGTGTGATGGGCAATTTTCTCATGAAGGTCTCAGGAGACTCCATTTTACTCTGCCAGTGAAGGGAAAGGGGCGTGAAATGGTCTTGAGTCCCTGTCTCAAGGACTTAGGGCACTTGGACAAGAGTTCTTGAGTGTAAAAACAATGACGCGGTCGGGCGCTGAGACTGAGAGGTAGAGACACCAGCACACCCACAGCTAGTTGACAGTTAGTTATAACCCTGGTACCAGGGGCTCGTTACCTTCCATGCTCATTGCAGATCTCCACCTATGAGTGTCTCACTTCCAGAGACACCCGTCGACCACCCTTCCATCCATCCACCCACCTACTCACTGATCTAATAAAACCATATGCATACACGGCCATGAAACAGACAGAGTTCTGAGTATAAAGAAGAGCAAGAGCCAGGAGCTACCATGTCAGACTCACGAGACTTGCGTGAGAAAAAGGTAAGAAACCCATTTCCCCACAGTCTACTCTTAATTCAGGCAGAATCTGGTTTGGTAGTGACCTGTGTTGCTAAATCCCTTTATTCTCAGACTGACATCTGGAGACACTTCGGGTGTCATAACTAGGGGGGCAGGATGCTACTGGTATCTTGTAACTAGGTCCCTTCTCAACTTTATTCAATGCAAACGAGACCCCCCCCCCCTGCAACAAAAGATTAGACCTATTCTTGTCTTGGATATAAAAGCCACAAAAACCTGGCATGGAGTCCAAGGAAGGGATGAACGAGCTGATGGGTGCCCATTTTAGTACCAACTATATAGTCACCACCTCTGGAGCAAAGCCCTCCTCCTCACCAGGGATCACTAATATCTCACAACGGGCCAAGGTTTGTATATGGAGTCTGCTGTTCATCTGTATCCTATCCTGCCAAGCCACGGCATCTCTGTAAGGCGGCACTTTTGTGACCAGGAGATGGTTTCAACTCCCTTGAGTCAAGGGGAGTAAGAGCAAAGACTGCTTAAGTCCTAGGGGCAGGATAGGCTATCAAGCCTGTGCCCGCTGGGTGCTGAGAACCAGGCCAGCCTTTAGGGAGATGGGGCAGGGAGGCATTTGGAGGGATTTCTGAAACAAAGGCAGGGCAGGGTCCAGGAGAGAACAGGACCCTTCTCCACCCACTTCCACCGGCCCCTGCTCTTACCTGAGCGGGCCAAGCACCCCCAAGGAACTAGGCAACACTGCCTGCCAGCAGGCTCTATCGGGCCTTTGTGCGCTCACTCTAGGTGGGCGGGCAGATTCTAGATCCATCCGGGATATTTGGGGCTGGTCCCGCCCCATACGTGGAGACCAGGAGGCAGGCCATGACACCAGAACCAGAACCAGGAAGTTTGTAAACCCTGCAAATTTGGCCGCTAATCCCTCAGCAAGCTGGTCCTGCCTGCCCTGCGGAGGTCCAGACGTTTGCCCCATTGCCTGTAGCTTGGGTGCTTCATTCGCACCAGGGGAAGCGGAACCGACGGCCAAAGGGAGGGAGTTTGCAGCTCCTGTTGGGTGATGTGGACACACAGGGGATGCGTGCCGAATGCCACCCCTATCCGCACCCCGCACCCCGGCAGAGGTCGCCAGTGGTCTCCATCCCTGCCATGTGAGGGCCAGCAAGGGGCGGAAGACAGTCTGGAAAATGAAGGCCACCTGTGTCCATGTTGGCTTCCAAACAGAGGCACCTTCCCCAGCCTAGTACACCCGTGCAGACAGCTTTCTCCGTTAGGAGGGCTTGGGTTTCTGTTTTCTCCCTACAAGATTCCGGGACACAAGCGCTTTACCAAAATGAAGGTGGGCTTGGAAGTTGTCTTACTCCTTTCTAGCAGTGGTTTTTTTTTTTTTGGGGGGGGGGGGGGGGGAAGACGGCCTGAGCCATCAGGTCTTTTGGCTGATGCCACTGAGTGAACCTGAAGGGGCATGGATGGCTTCTCAACTACCATTTCAACCCCTTGGACCCCTGGGACCACAACTCAAGCCATCCGGACACTTCTAGAGCCCAATTTAGGATTCGCCCCAGGGGTAAAGCCTGGCAGGAAGCCAAGAATCGAGCCAGCTGGCCTATGCCTGCAGGGATGTCCCGGGCAGCCACCACCCAGGCCTCCCACACTCCTCACTATGGTGAATCAGCAGTTGACTCTAGTTGGCTGCCTCCTCTCTGGCTAAACCACTCCTCCTGTGGAGGAGACAGGACCCTGGGCATCGTTGGGGCATTGGTTCCCAGCAAGGGAAGGGGCTGTCAGTAAAGCTTATACCGCCTGAAACAGGACTTGAGTCAGGAGGAAGTCGGTAGTGATCCCCCAGCAATTCTGTCTATACACCCCCGAATGAGAAAAAAACTACTCTAGGCCACATGAAATTCAGTTTCTCTTTATTAGAATCTGTGAAGACAGAGAGTTTGCAGATGCCATCCTGTCTAGTTGCGGACGGCTGCGGTTCTGTGTCATTTGGCTCTACCTTGTAGTGAACAAGACTCCCAGCGGCTGAGATCGTAGGATACTGTTCCACAGTTCAAACAGATGAGAGGTGGTAAGATATTATGGCCAACAACATTTAGACTAGCCACCCACTTACGCCATTCCCCAGCGTATGTACTTCGCAGCCTAATCACACGATTACATCACTACAATGTGAGATTCGGTCTTCGATTAATAATGCATTTTGACTCCTGTTTAATATCGGTGCATGCAATTCTTTGCTACCCTGGCGGTTAACCAGACCTGGACGCTAATTAGAAGCTAAACTTGGTCTAAATAACATTCTAAGGGTGGGGGGCAGGCAGGCTCTGTAACCTGGACTCAGCCATCGCGCCCCAGGACCTCTACAGAAGCACCCCCTTTCCTACTGTATGCCACCTCCTGTCTGTCAGTCTGCATTTAGGAATGCCTGCTGTATACAAAAAAGAGAGTTCAGTAGCCAGATAATACACACAAAGACCACAGACCCCCTCTAGAACTTTCTAAATTGGGGAATGTGTCCCAAGTGTACGTATGCAGTGCTCTGATACGGCTATGTCGGCTGGGGTAGGGATAGACTGGAGAGCTTCAGTTGGAGTTTGATGACTGGGGCTGCATCTCTGGGCCTGAAGGAAGTCAGTGAAGTGACCGCCCCTTCTCCATCATCAGTTTGCTAAAACTGCAGATCTCTGTCAACTCGTTTAAGCAAAATAGGAGCAAGGAGATAGACCTAGCATAAGCTGAGGATGCTTTATGCTAGCCAGGAAAAGAAGGGCCCAACTGTCCTGCTCCTGCTCGCTTACTAAACCCAACAGAAACCTCAGCTCATGTACCGCTTGGTTCCTCTGATCATGAAGGGTGCCACGCTTTTCCTTGCCAGAGAGGAGAGGTCAACAGCCCTGAGAGACACAAAGTGTCTGGGGAGGGAGGCATGGCTCACAGGCTGGTGTGCTCAGCTCTCAGTCTGGGCAGGAGACGCGGTGCATTACCCTTCACGCAGAAGCTTTCCGCTTTGGGCAGGGCGTGCAGGAGTGGAAGAGTCTGCTGAAGCTGTCGGTCTGGGTGGTCTGTGTGATCAGAGTACTCTGACCCAAGGCACCTCTGACTATTGCTCAGTCTTGCATACATGTCCATGGCATGACATCAGCATGAACAGTGATCAGTGAGAGTGATTGGGAGACAAAGCTGTGGAGCTTACAGGCAGCAGTGTTATTAACCAAAATTAGGAGAATTCTCCTCACACAAGCGCACAGTAGAAATAAAGATTCTGTACAGGATTCTAGTGCTCTATATACATAAAATTATATCCATTATAACAAAATTGAAAGTTATTTGAGGACTGTGGCCGGAAACACCAAAAGAGAGGCCCATGAGCTTCCAAGGCAGAGTTAGCAGGGGAGTCCTAGCAAGCATCCTGATACCTGGATTTGACACCCCGCCATTCCATTTGGGGTTCCCATTCTCGTGTTCTATGGTTTGATAGCATTTTCACATTCTAGCAGGGAATTTCTGCAGCAAGTGGTGTGAAAAGACAAGAGGTTGGAGTTCAAAATGCTACTTAAAATCTGTGTATTGGCTATGATGATGGGTTCACAAATCCAACTTGCATTTGAAGTTCCCTTCCCTCATTCTGTACTCATTCATTCATTCGCTCATTCATTCATTCATTCATTAAATAATGCACGCCTCCAGTGATCTGAAATCAGAACGAATTCCAGCAGGTAAGAAAGGCAGCTTTGAACAGATCAAATGGTTCCTCGTCCTCGGTTGGCTCCGGAACGTTGGCGAGACTGGCTTTGGCTTTGCACAGAGGGAATGCGAGAACACAGAACCTAGCTGGCTCGTTGGGCAGCTTCATTCTCAGGGTTCCTTTTGTGACATCCTTTTCCTTCTCTGACCCTTCCAGTGAGGACTAAAAGGGTGACCCCACCCCTCTCGTAGGAGGGCCGGGTGTGTGGGTACACACACTCTTCCCTAAGGGGGCTCTCACGGGAAGGTTTGAGGCCACACTGTGTGGTCTGTGGTTGCTTCAGCTCTGACAAATCTCAGGTTTGAACTCCTCGCATGCAAACACGAAACACGCAGGTCCTGTCTCTGCAGAGTCAGCTCTGGCTTTAGGGGTTAGATTCAGACCTGCTCCTGACAAGCACCCAGGCGATTCTGAGGCAGGGGGGCCACAGACTTGCTTTGTAAGAGGCTATTCTCATCTGCCAGGTCTAGGTTTACATGCCCTTTTTAGGTGAATTTGAAAAGCTGAAGATTCGATCAAGACATTTCACGGAACAGAACCCCTTTTGTATTTCCTTATTGGGGGATGAAGAATAGTTTCACTGAAGGTGTGCATGGTTTGCAAGGTGGGGGGTTTGGAGTTCTGGACTTGGTGATACATATAAACACAGCAAACAAAAACTTCATTTTCTCAAACAAATGTCCTACTAAACTCACCTATGATTATGCAGGACCTCTGAACTCAAGGTTTGTTGTTCTGAGAATTATCCTCTGATCTGTATTTTCATTTACTGGGTTTTCAATGAACCCCGGTCAACTGTGGTCCAAAAATGTGTAACAGTATAGTATAGTAAGATATGCTGAGATAGACCACATTCGTACAAATTTTATCAAAGTGTGTTTTCATAGTTGTCCTATTTCATCATTATTGTTGCTAATCTCTTACTACTTTATTAAATTGAACTTGATCATAGGTATGTAAATATAGAAAAAACATAGTATATAGATAAGGTTTGGTACTATCAATGGCCCTGGGCATCCACTGGGGAACCTCAGGGTGTATCCTCTACAGATAAGAGGGGACCGTTGTGATGTGGGGTAAGTCACAAACGCTTCAGTGTGCATTTCCACCAAAGGAAGCTTTACCTGCTCTGGAAAATGGAGGTATCGGCACCCTTGCCGCCACCCTGCCCCTCCCCCCATCCTGGTTGAGTTAGCCAAAACCATCCTTCATTGAGCCTCTTTGGAATTTAAATTATACGAGAACCTAAAATAGTGCCCAGCGTGGGCAGTCTTCTCCCACCAGCGTAAAAGAAATACTGTAAGTTGCCGCTGAGTCACCAAGAAGACGAGATTGAGTGCAGGAAGTGTACTTCCTACCCTTTGCCGTCCAAGGTAATTTAAAAAGACCTCTGAGGAGGACCCCTCCTGGCTCAAAGGTCCCGCTTCACACCCAGAGAGATGTCCTCCCTCACAGGGTCCTCTGCATGGCAAACAGGGGCTGTCTTACCACTCAGGAGCCTGTGAGAGCTGGCTGCTCCAGGATCCCTCAACTTCCTATTTCCAGACCTTGATACTAAATTTCTGAGTTTTTCTGACTCCAATATACTCTCAAAAAAAAAAAAAAAAAAAAAAAAAAAAAAAAAAAAAAAAAAAAAAAAAAGTCCTTAGTTAATTCTCTCCCTGGTTCTCATCTTTCCTACTGAAATTCAGGTGGGCGATGGCAAGGGTCAAGGTCAGGGGCAGAACAGTAAGGTCAGCGGATGCAGAGGAGTCCCGGGGGCTCATGGTGGGGAGGGGTGGTTACATTAGTAGTTTAGGAAGTCGATCCCCACTTTGACACTCTTTGAGGTGGCTATATCAATGGCCGTGGCCTTGATCTCAGTGTCCCCGAACTGCATAAGGGTCTGGATTTCCCTTCGGGCAGGCACCGCTGCGCCACTGGTCCCCGTAAGATCCAGGCGGAGCGTACCACACTTTCTCACCCCTGGGTCAGTGATGAAGCTGACGTCGTCGTGCTCAGAGCTGTAGACATTGATGACAATGACCAGCTGGGAGGGCTTGGCGGGAGTGTAGCTGCGCTTGACCAGCTCCCCCAGGGCCACGGACTGGTCGGCGGAGATGAACTTGTCAAAGACATCCGTGCACCAGCGGGTGCCGTCCTTCACCAGTAACTTCTCGGGGGGATGTTTCCCCTCCACGTAGCGGTTCAGTACACCCACGCCGTAGGTGAGGGGAGACCGGCGCACCTTGATGACGGCAGGGTCCAGGCCAAAGAGAACAGCGCCCTTGAGGATGGTGAGGCCCACATCCTGGGGGATGATGATCCTGCACTTGTCACCAAAGGCAGCCTGCACCGCCTGCTGCAGAAGGGGGGCCTCTGCAAAGCCACCCACCAGGAAGAGGAACTTGACCGTGGACACCTCGGGCTTCTGAAACAGGTCCCCTGAAAGGGAAGGAGAAGGGGAGATGGGATGACCCAAAGCAAGGCAGCAAGGGGGAAACGCAGTTGTCTGAGTCTACAGAAGGGACAGCTAACCATGAGCATCAGCTGGCATTGGCTTTGCACGAGCTCATTGAACTCAGTTTGGACTGAGCTAGTCTGATGAAGAAAGGTTTATACACTGTATGCCTGGGAACAGAGGCCAGGGCTGTGCCAAGTAGAAGCCTAACTTATTGGAGGTGGTGCTGGCTTTAATCAGAACTCATTCATCATGACAATGTATCCCTTTAAACATGTGATCCAAGCTGTGAGAAATAGTTGTGTCCGATAGTCACAAAGGTAGGTGAGGGATGTATAGATGGTATGATGTTTGGATCCTGGAAAAAAAATCCCCATTAGGTTACTGTGTGTCCAACTTGTGGCTGGACAAGGATACCAACACACAAGAAGACAGCACAGACAGACTCTTGTCTTGCTGGAACCCTTCCTTGGTTCACAAAACAGTTCCTTCTTTCCCTGTGAGGCCAGGATTCCTAAGTTTCCCTAATACTCCAGACAAGATACAGTCCCAGGGCTTGTCACTCTGGAGTAGTACTATTTCAGAGTTCCTTGACCTCTGGCCTTCAAGGCCAAAGTGAAGCCCAGGTAAGGGCAGGCCCTCAGCGGCTCAGCTCTCCAGAATGGGTGGCATCCAGCAGCCTCCCTCTGATGTGCCCAATCTCTGCCTGTAGGGATATTTTGTTTGTGGCCTAACAAAGCTGGCCTGAAGATCAGAGTGCAGAGCTAGCCACACTAGTTAGCCATAGAGGCCAGGTGTGGCATATACCTTTAATCGCAGCACTTGGGAAACAGAGGCAGAGGGATCTCTGGAAGTTCAAGACCATCCTGGGTGATGTGGGAGTGTCATATCAATCTGTTGATTTCATTGGTTAAGTTATAATAAACCAGCTGCTTGGCCTCATGGCTTGGAACATAGATGGGAGGAGTAAACAGAATAGAATTCTGGGCGGAAGAGGAAGTGAGGTCAGACTCTGCTCTGCTCCTGGAGAGACGCCATGCTCAGCTCTGCTGGATAGACACGATAGCTCTGCGCTCTGAGGCAGAGGCATGAAGCTCCCCAGGATGGACGTAGGTTAGAATCTTCCCGGTAAGCGCACCTTGGGGTGCTTACATACATCATTAGAAATGGGCTAGTCCAGGTGCGAGAGTTAGCCTAGAAGAGGCTAGATAGAAATGGGTCAAGCAGTTAAATGAATACAGTTTGTGTGTTGTTATTTCGGGCATAAGCTAGCCAAGCGGCCGGGGTGTTGGGGACGCAGCCCCGCTGCCTCCTATTTCAACACCTGGGCTACACGAGATTGAATCTGTCTGAAAGAGAAACAGAGCTCACACAAAGGTGATCCTACCACTTGGGATCACACGCCTTAAATCCTAGCACTAGGGAGGTGGAGACAGGAATGAAATGGCTGGGCAGAGAGAGGAATAGAAGGCCGGAGGAGACAGGAGCTCAAATGCAGTCTGAGGATTCAATCCGAGCATAAGTCTGAGGTTTCATGGAGAGGCAGCCTGAGGTTTTGTAGAGACAGCATTCAGTCTGAGGATTCATGGAGACAGGACCGCCCCTTTCAGTCTGAGCAGTGGTAGAGGTAGAGCTGCTCTGCTTCTCTGATCTTCAGCACTAATCCCGGTATCTGACTCTGGATGTTTATTATTAAGAACAATTAGAAACTGTGCTGCACCTGCCAACTCCAGAAGGCTCCAGCCCTGTAGCTCCCAGATCCAGGTCACCTACCAAATGAGCTGCCTCAGTCCTGTCCCTGTTCCCAGCTCTGTCCCACAAGTGGCTGAGACTCAACGGTACTTACGGAGGTGTTCGATGATGCTGTCGATGGTCGGCTTAAAGAGGGCGTTCATGGCGTCTGGACTCATCCTCAGCATCCCCTGGGAGGACCACTTCACAAAGTCCACACTGGGAACAGTAGCAAGAAGAAATGGCAATGAATGAGTGCACAGTGCCCAGAATGTTCTGCACGGATGTGCGGCCTGACAATGTCTGTCCCATCATGATGACAAGGTATGTTAAAGCCAAAAGCATTCTTGGGAATCCACTCAACTGCCTGGACCTGGACCCTCGGAGACTCGAGAGCTAAGACATAACAGAGAGTCTTCCGCCTCTGCCTCCCCTAGCGCTCAGATTACAGGTGTGCCCCACCACACCACTTCTTTAAAAAACGACCGGAAGGAGGAATCACCATTTATCTTTTTTCTGAAGTGACCAAGCCGCCGAGGTAAAATCTCTTTACGTGTGCTCCAGATATACCAAACACAAAGGGCAAGACAGTGACATGGTAAGCAGGGTCCACCCCAGTGAAACGCGGGCACAGGCAGCGGTCATCAGTGGGCGCTTACATCCCAGAAGGAGACACAAGCAGACTGTATGTGTCCCGATGTGGTGTACTGAGAACTCGCAGCATCTGCAGCAGAAGAACTGCCCAGGGTCGGCTTTCAGCGCCCTGACATGGGAGAGGAGGATTTGCAGAGCCCTGCTCCTCCCTGAGAATTATGGATAGTAATATTGCTTGGGGGGGGAGGGGCGATGCTTTGCTTCCAGTGATATAGCGGTAAGGTGCTGGCATTCCTGTAAATAAACTTTCACCAATGCTCCTGTATACAGTCCTGATGAAATTGGGACACACACATACACACACACACGCACATACGCACACATACACACAGTGTGTCACTGTGGGGTGGGCTTTGAAATTTCAAAAGCCCATGCAGGCCCAGTCTCTCTCTCTCTCTCTCTCTCTCTCTCTCTCTCTCTCTCTCTCTCTCTCTTCTCAGTCAGTGAGTCAGGATATAGCTAGCAGATTCTCCAGCACAATGTCTACCTGCATGCTGCCACGCTCCCTGCCATGATCATAACGAACTAAACCTCTGAAACTGTAAGCCAGCCCCCAATGAAATGTTTTCCTTTATAAGGGTTGCCTTGATCATGATGTCTTATCATAGTAATAGAACAGTGACTAAGACATCACCCAAACAAAATGTCCCATTTTCATAAAGCTATTATTTTCTCAGGGAACACACCAGTGGATACGTAGACCATACTTTCTGTGACCTGGGTATTACCCTAGGTGCCTAACAGACAGGAATTCATGTTACTCCCACAGCAACCTTTGAGATAACGAGAATCATTGTCCCCATTTTCCACACTAAAATTTAAATTGAGGCATGGATAAATTGAGTCACTTGCTCAAGAGCACACCATGCATAGAGTCAGAACCCACGGTCCACGCCCAATCTCTCTGTTCCGTCAACGCTGCCCACCCCACACTCTCTGTAGCCCAAGGTGAGCCAGATTACTTGCTCTTCCTCAAGGCATGCTCCACGCTGTGCCCACGGAACTTCTTGTAGTAGTCGATGAAGGAGAAGGGCAGGGTGATGTTCAGGGGATTCGTCCGGTCTGGTGCAGCGGCTCTTTTGCGAGACTCAAAGGCGATCATTAGGTCAACCCAGGCCGCCGGGCGCTTGATCTTGAACTGTTCGATAAAGTCCTCTCCAAATATTTTACAAAGCAGCTTTTCAAATTCATAATCTACTCCCAGAGATCCATAGGGTCCGCCTGAGAAGAGAAGAAAATGGAACCCACGGTGTCAGAAAACCAAATGCTGAGATCCAGGCCTCCCTGTGTTCTCTGGGGCCCTCTCGGCACACAGATAGCAGTAACCATCCCCACTCACACCTCAACACCCTTAGGCTCTTATTCTGTGGATTTCCCCCTGCAGCAATCTAACAGTCTGTTTCTATCTATTTCATTATTAAATCAATACAGATAACTTTAAAAATCACAATCTTCCATCTGAGAAAGCCCATAGGTGAGGTCTGGAAAACCAGCAGGACTTAGGCCCATGCAGTCTGTCGATGACATCACCTCATCTGTCGATGACATCACCTCATCTGTCGATGACATCACCTCATCTGTCGATGACATCGCCTCGGAAGACTTCCCCTCCCAAATGGAAAGGTATGTTCCTTATTTTGGTGATCTTGATCTAGGTGTAGAACTCTGGCCTTGGATTTCAATCAGAGGTGGTAACAAGCTACAGGTGAATCCTGCTAAAACTTCAGTAACAGCCAGCTTGGCAGTTTGCTGCCCAAACTCAAGGGGTGGTTTGTCTTTGAAAGAACACTTAGTAGACCTTGCTTTCCAACTGTGAACAGACAGAAGGGTCCTCCACCACCCAGTCTGATTTGAAATGAGTGAACAAGAAACGGCTGGAGGCCGGGGAAGCTAACCAGCCAGGCAGTACTCACCTGTTGCTTTGTACAGCTCCTTAAGGTGCCCCTCTGGTAGGCGTATCTGATGGACTGTCAGGTCTACAGTGCCTCCACCGCTGTCAACAACCACGTACTTGTCACCTGGCATAAAAGACAGCAATCTGTAAGACACACCACGTATCTGTTCCCGCTCTGACACGCTGGTGAATGAGAACTTGGACTTGTTACTCACATTAGCACTGCCAAGAGCACAGTGGTTTTTGTTAATTAGCAGCATAGCAAGTTACTCAGTAACTAAGAGAATGCAATCATGCCCGTCCGAGAGGGCGAGCTAAGCATGGATGAAGAAGAAGCAGGCCAGAGACTCTAGAAGACCCGCCCCAGCCCCAGCCCGTGACATGCTCTCCAACACAACTCCATCCAGAACTGGGGAACCTTATCTTCCTCGGGAAGAGTATCTGCATGGTTTTCTGACATGCGGAACTCCGGCTCCCAGAAGGGTGGTCCCTGAGTGAGTGACCTTTAAAGCCCCTGCCACTGAGCATCTCCCCGAAGTGCAAATGTGATAAATATGAATGCATTTTTGCAGGCAGTGAAAATAGATGATAATAAGTAGGGGCAAAAGACATCCCAACGCAATACCTTCCTCCAGCTCAGACCAGATCTCTCCTATGACGTTCTCCACCAGGAAGGTCCGACTCTGCCGGTTACGCCGAACGTGTTCCTTAGCTGGCGGCCGACAGGAAGAAAGGGGTCAAGCATGAGAGAGCATGAAAAAGAGACGCTGGTCTGCAGCTGCTGGAGACATCAGCATGGTAGGCTTGAAGACGGAGCATTTACTGACACTGGACCAACAGGATTAATAAACACACATCAAAAACCAGAAAGCCAGTTCCTCTAAGGGAAGAAGCCCTCATCTTTGGCCCATGCCCAGCTGTAAGGCCTGCCCTGAGGAGATTCTTGGCCATGGCGACCGTCTTCTGGGGAGTGGGCTAATGAAACGGGCCAGTTTCCCAGCAGCCCACAGTGCACTAAGTGGGCTTAAATCTTTTCGCATCATGGAGCTTTGGAATGCGGGAAATATTTTGTTCATAGGAATCTCTGTCCTGCAGCTTTTGAAGACAATGTACACTTGTGCCACATGGGGGCGCTTCCGCCACAAGGTAGCATCTGAACCTAGGGAATCCCAGCTCTTATCACCAGGATACCAAGGGGATGCCTCTGCCTGTGCGCTGAGTGGCTGGAATGCCTTTGGGACAGACAGGGCACGAATAACCATCCTGAGCTTGGCTGACAAGGGTGAGGTCATGGGACTGGGAAATCCCCAGATTTCTTGTCTGGCAATATGAATCCTTAGACCAGAGGCCCCCAGGGCTTTGGAGACCTAACAATCCCCAAGCTTGGAAAAGCAGAAGAATGGGCCAAGAGAGGTACTAAGAAAGGATACGTGGGAAGCAGCCGGCCACAGCCAAGTGGGCTTTGGGGTCAATCACTTAGCCCTGTGGGCCCTCAGTTTTCTCATCTATAAAATGGGGATATCACTAGCCGGTCTAGGTTTCTCAGGGGCTTCCCGAATACACCCTGCTCGTCTACTGCACACCTGGAGTGGCTGCCTGCACACAGTAGGTGATAAGAAAGGCAGAGCACCTACTGTGAGACCTGGTGGCCACAGAATGACAACCGTGACAAATGATTTCCTAGAGCAGCTCTGGGGTGACAGAGGAAGGCTCTCCTGCCTCACCTCCCTCCCCAGCATTCTGTCCTTTACATCCCTAAGCTACCCTGCTCCTTCTGAAACGCCTTTGGATGCCACCGTGCTGATTATCTGTGCTGATTATCTGACCACACGCAGGAGCAGTGTCTGCAACCCCAGCTTCCCTTGGGGGTAGATCAGCAAATGCCCAGCTGGCTGCAAGTTCTTCAGAGCCTGGGTTAGAGTGGTCAGAGGGGCACCCTAGGAGGGCCCCCCAAACTTGGGCTTCTCTCCTGGTCCCACATGGGCTCCAGGTGAGCTACGTTAGACCAGAGGTATGGCTCAGTGGTAGAGCACGTGCCTTGCATGCGAGCAAACAAGAAACAAATGTCTCAGGCCTTGCAGCAGGGATCCGGTTTGCTAACAATTTAGATGACCACAAAATGGAATTCATAAAAAATATCCGCGAGAAGGCGACAAAACATCTTTCCCGTCCTCAAAGAACCATCCCAGTTTTTCAGGTAGATTAAGCCCAGGATTGGACAAATGTATCTTTTATGAATCCCATTAAAATCCATCAGGAGTAAAATAATGTTCCCTGCAAACCCTGAGTGGTGGAGGCTGAATGCCGGCCAGTCCCTTCCCTCTCCTGGACCCTCTATCCACTGACCTGTGCTCTCAGGGACCCACGAGCCTGTCTGATGTCCCCTGGGGTCCCTACAGCACCCCACCCCCGGGAGAGCCAGGCTGACACCTAGAGCCCTGCCAAGGCCTGCAGGTCATCAATGAGGGCTCCAGACACCAAGCCCCCTCCCCACCCCTGCCGTGAGTGCACACAAAGCCACAGGACAGATATGATGGACCGGCAATGGGGAGACATGACGGAGAAGAGGAAAGGAAACCCAAAGACGGACCCTGAGGAAGGATCTCAGCAGGTGCCTCCTGAAAACCGAGAGCCAGTCTTAAACCATATGTGAAAGCTGTGCCAAAATCAATAGACCCTGCTATGAATCTCTGTTTTTGAACTGAGAATTAGCCTGTAAGACACAGGCTTTGTCTTCTTTCCAACGAGACAATGGAGAGAGATGCGCCTTCGTGCATTTGAAATGATAAAGCAACCGGGTTCCTTGGAGGAAAGGCTGGCCTTGGCAGCCCTTGGCAAGGCCAGGATGGCCATCAGTCAGTATAAGGACTAACCCAGCCCTTGGGCATACCCCTCCCCTTACCCTAAACTTCTCCAGCTTAAGGGTTTGGGCTACCCTTCCCTATATAATCCAACCATTTTGGTTGCTACAATTTTTTTTTTTGTACCTTTGGGCCTCCTGGTTGCTGCACTGTTTTCCCCTCCCCCTCTCCCCACGTGGCACAGCTCAGTCTGGTCAGCCCACGCTGGACTCCCCCAGGTGTCTCCGTCCCTGCCTCTAGCTACGCTCTCCCCTTTATCTCCAGTGAACCTTCTCCTTCACCATGCCCAGGAGGAGTTGTGTTCCTTTCAAAGTTCCCTTCCCATTAATTTTTTAATTAAGATCTAAGTTTAGGTCAGGCAATCCTCACTAATGACCTCTCTAACCTCTTCCCGGGCCACTTGGGTGTGGACATGGGAGGAGGGTGCATTCTGCCCACCTGGGAACTCAGCAGAACTCAGAGCTGGGCGTACAGCATCTCCCGACACATACAGTGCGCCAGGTTAGTAGCCAAGCTTTCAATGGTGTTTCACCATGACCTCGTCTCTCTAAAACCTGGAGCCCCGGAGAGACCACAAGAGCCTAGACCCATGGAGCACACAGTTCTGGGGACCAAGAGTTAGACTGAGTCGGTGAGAGACAGTCTCAGATCCTAGTAAAATACAAGGCTCAGAAAGGCTCTCAGGTCGTCCCTGGGTTCTCGGAGAGATGCCCCCAAGGGGTGGGTGACAAGCGGGGTAACCAATGCTTAGCTTATGGGGAATCCTCTAGGGACCACAGAGGAACACCAAGCAAAGAGGGACTTACTCCACCTTCCCCGGGGAGTATCCTGATCCTGGCAGCCTGGGCTTGGGAGGGGCGAGCGGAGGGAGGGAGAGAGAGAACAGAGGTACCCTGTGTGAACCCCGCTCCTACTGTGTCACTGGAGCTGCACCCATTGACCACCGCCTTGCCGCTGAGCTCGATCATCTGGTGCAGCCGCAGCTTCCGGCAGTAGATGGAGGCGGCCTCGGGCTCCAGGGCAATGATGAGCTGCTCCGAGTTCTCAGGGGAGGCCAGGCCCGCCTGGAAGACAGAGTGACAGAGGCTGGAGTTGGGGTTCCGGAGGCAGGCCTGCTCAGAGGACACCTCACCCAAGGAAGGAACGGAGCCATAGACTTAGCTTGTGTAGGGGGACATCCCCTCCACAGCCTCTGCAGGATTTGATACTGGGGGTGGCCAGGCATTGACCCCTCAAACTTCCTGAATATGCAAAGGGATCCTGGAAAAGGCAGGGCGCTCTGGCGACAGGGCCTCCGTCCCTGGGGACTGTGGACAGTGGGTAATGATGAGGTTAACATGCAAGCGGTTGGGGAACAGACTTGCAAAGGCTCCGGCACTTTGAAACACATCACAGATAGAAGGCGGGTGGATCCATTCCCTGTGACCGTGGGTCACACACAACCTGACAGGCTGTGCAGATCCTGATCTTGGTGAACAAGGCCTAGGCAAGCACTCGGGGGGGGGGGGGGGCTCCTGTCACTTGCCTGCTGGGTGACATATGAGCAGTGGCTCCCGGAGGAAGCCTCCATGAAGTCCTTAATTTCCTGGAGTGAGGGTGGGCAGTCAACTGACAGGTGTTTTAACTAACGCCATTATTTTTTCATAAAATTTACCGTATAATAGTTTTATTTTTGAGGTGGGGTTTCACGGATCCCAGGCTGATCTCAACCTTGCTGTGCATCAGGAACGGCCATGACTGTCTAATCTTTCTGTGTCTACCTCGTGAGTGCTGCTCTGGGACTATTACAAGTGTGTGTCACCACGACTGTTTCATGCGATGCTAGTGACTGAAGTTGGGTGCTCACGTGTGTGAGACAAACACGTCACCAACCGAGTCCACCCCAGCTCCTACATATCCCTAATATTACAACGGTTACGCCCCCAGGTTCCCAGCTGCAACTTCCTCTGTTAATATCTGGGCTCTGTCCTGGCTGGCAGGAGGCAGAAGTACTGCTGTTCCATGGCGTGTGACCTGTCCCAGTCACCTCCCTGCAGAGCAGGAGGTCCCAAGGGCACCCTAGTGCGCACACTCAGAGAAATGAACTCACGGAGGCTGTGCGTGGCGCACGGGGCTTTCTTAACCACAAGAGTGCGATCATTCCTGTCACCTTGGCGCTGCTTTTCTGCTGTTTCCAAGGACGTCTGGAGACTGGTCTCCTAGCCACACCCACTTGGAGGAAGTCCCCCCCACTCCCACTCCCACTCCCACTCTACACCAGAAATTCAGCAGACAGAAAGGTCTCCTAATGACACATATTCACAAGAAGAGCAGCTAGGAGCCAAGGGCAGAGGGGCTTAGGAGGCTCCATCAGTAAGCGAGGAGGAGAGGAGGCTCAGGTTCCAAACCCAAGGGAGCCCCAGAGCCTTTCGTGTAGCTCCTTCACTAAAAGTAGTGTCTCAGCTGCTGTTCTATTGCTGCGATAAGACACCATGACTGTCTTAGTTACAGGGCTGCTACTGCTGTGATGGAAACACCATAACCAAAGCTACTTGGGGAGGAAAAGGTTTGATTGGCTTCCACTTCCACATCACGATTCATCATCAAAGGAAGCCAGGACAGGAGCTCAAATGGCAGAAACCTGGAGGCAAAAACTGATGCAGCAGAGGTCATGGAGGGATGTTGCTTGATCTCTGTGACTTGCTCAACATGCTTTCTTGTGGAACCCAGGGCCACCAGCCCAGGGGTGGCACCTCCCACAACGGGACGGGCCCTTCCCCATCAATGAAGAAAATGCCCTCAGGTTTGCCTATAGCTTACACTTACTGAGGCATTTTCTCAAGTGAGGCTCCCTCTTCTCCCGTGACTCTAGCTTGTGACAAGCTGACATAAAGCCAGCCAGCACCATGGCCAAGGCAGCTCATATTAGAAAGAGTTTATTTTGGCTTGTGGGTCCAGAGAGTTAGCGTTAACAACAGGAGAGCAAAGGAACAGTGGAAGAGGACAGCTTACATCTTGAACCACAAGCTCGAAACAGAGAGGACACACCGGAAATGACTCTAGGTCTTTTAACGGCAAAGGCCACCCACAGTAACATACTCCTTCCATCAAGGTCACACCTCCTAAACCTCAAAGAGTGCCACGACTGGGGACCAAGTGTTTAAACGCCCAAGACTATGAGGGACATTTAACATTCAAACCACCACAAGCAGGAAGACTCCAAGACCCCAAGAGAGGGTGACCAGCTACTTTAGTTTGTCTAGGAGAGGAAGCATCCCATGGAACGTGGGGCTTGTAGAGATAAACACAGTTGAGTCTTATTCACAGGTGTCCAATGTCAGCACAGGTGTTCAATGTCAGCACAGGGACTTGAGTCCCTCAAACCAGACTCCTTAGATCACACCAACTGGTCACACAAACTGTCCAGCCTGGAGTGACCTAACATTACAGGGGAGAGGACTGGTCCAACCTTTTGACAAAATTCCATTGTCCATTGGTTTTAGGCACCATCTCTTCACCTGCTGGGTAAAGTTTCAGACAATGCATTGCCCACAGTTCTCTATGGAAATCGCACTCCAAATAAATGTCACTAATAACATCTGAAATAGAGGCTACCAACCAGGTAGGATGCTGGCTTCACTTTATACATGCCATGTGCCTCTCTAATAATATTTTAGTAGCAGAGACACTTCAGGATTGGTTCCCAAATCCACACCTGTGCTCTGCACCAGTCACAGGGCATTTCTCCCCTACTGCCTAGCATCCCCAGCCACGGCCAACCATGTAGGCAACAATAGTGTTCATTGTTCTGGTTCATGGGGCAAATGGGTTGGGCTGCCACCACTTACGTGGGCGTGAAAGATCTTACTGCCCCCTGTCAAGCAATTACAAGTACTCCTGCCCCAGCTCGTACATCCCCAGATCAGATCGTACATCCCCAGCACACAGACAGATGAAATAGGATGGCGTCAGACACATGAAGTGCCACAGGAATGGCGGATCTGCTGAACCGAACCCAGCCTGCAGCACACTGCCCCGTTCCCTCATCTGGGATCTAAAGCTGCCTAACGGAAGCTCAAATGTTAAAGCTTTCCTGGAATCCTAAGATCCATGCAGGAGGCAGGTATAGGCGACAAAATTGCTCTCCGAGGAGCTCATGGAAGCAAGTCTTTACCCTGACCATTCAGCTCCTCAGCCCTTGCAACCTGCCAGGAAAATCTGCCAAGAAACTGTGTGGACAGGTGAGAAAAATGGCCGGGCCAGCTACGTATTCTACCGGGCTGTCAGCGAGCTCCAGCCACCCCAGCTGGGCTTCGTGCACTTCAGCTTCTCCTGATAGGATTATTCTTCACTGCAGACTGTTCACACAGGGAGGCTGTTACAGGCTGTATCTCTGTATTAAAGGAGGCCAACATACATGGGGGCATCGTTTACTTAACAGGCCTCACACACCAGAGTTACACGTTTTTTGCAAAATGCCTCTAAAAACTGGACGACTCCCTGTCCCTGGTCTCCTGAGATTCAGTAGTGCAGTGCTCCCCTCCCCTGCCCCCGCTTCTGTTCAAGGTCTTTCCTGAAGACCTCGCCTGGCCCCTCTGCTGCCATCTTCCCACTGTCTGCTCTTCAAGGACGTAGCTGTCCTGAGTGTGTGAATCCTAAGTGATGGAGATTAGGCAGATTCTTTCACCCAGGACTGAGGTCAGGCAGACCCAGGGAGGATCTCCAGATGAAGCAGATCTCTGTGCACGGCTCTGCAGCCCTTATGGGCCCTGTCTCAGCAGTGGCTCTGGACCTGGTCCAGCCTGAAGGATGCTATGCTGAGACCACTGCAGCTCTGCTCTCTCTGGCTCTTCGTGAATGTACCTGTACTCAGAAAATCTAAAAGACTGAAGGATGCCCCCCTCCCCCATGCTTCCCACCCAAGCAGAAGAGCACACCAAGTTTTCTTACTATTCTGGGGGCACACAGTTCTGCTTCATTCTGAAGTCACTCCTGGGGGAGGGCTGGCAGGAAGCCACCACCATGGAGGAGGAAGCAAATACCCATCTGAGGAAAGACCTTTCGTGGAGATGGATACGCTGAGAGCATCCTCAGAAGACACTGGGCTCAGAACTCGGGATTCGCTTGTATCTGTATTAACCAGAGCTCTCTGGGGAAATAATATAAGCTGGATACTCAGACACACAGCAAGAGATTTCCTATAAGGATCTGGTTCACGATTACAAAGCCTGACGAGACCCAGGAGATGTAGCTGAGTAGCTCCTGCCCAAAGGACACAGGCTCAAGAGCCCAGAAGGGCTGATGTTTCCATCTGAATCCGAAGGAAAGAAAAGCAAAAAAACAGCCCCAGCTCACAGGCAGGTGGGAGGGATTTCTTCTCTCTTGGGGAAGGGTCAGCTCTTTGGCCTGTTCAGTCTTCAGTGAACTAGAGGAGGCCCATCCATGTTACACAGGAATCTGCTTTACCCTGGACAGCTAAATGCAGACATTCAAAATACCCTCACAGGAACACCAAGAGCATTATTTAACCAAACATCTGGGAAAGCTCTGACCCAGTCAAGCTGACCCACAAAAATTTATCTTCGCAGGATTGGGCTGTAGTGGGTATTTGCTCTGCCCATGATCTTGGCATGATAGAGGTGGTGTTTTTGTCTGTCTACATGAACTCCTATAAGGAAGGGGGTGTCGCTCTCTCTTGGGTGGTGAAGACCGGGTCAGAGGGCAAGAAGCAGTGTGTGACTGGTCTCTGGCTTTCCAGGGGCTCTGTGACTGGACTTAGCATATCCTGTACTTGTGAGTGTATTTTCCCTGTTTATAGCTCAAGAAATCCTTGATATCCTTTATGTGGGTTTTTCTTAACAAGTGGCACCCAATGTGAGACTTGGACCCATGTTCTGGGATTAAGGGTCCCATGCTCTATCAACCACATCTAGCTGGGATGCAGTTTCTCCATTGACTGCTATGCTGTGGGACAAAGGTCTTGTACCCTGTAAAGATTTGCTACTGTATTGCTTTAATAAAATGCTGATTGGTCAGTAGTCAGGCAGGAAGTATAAGGGGGGAAACCAGAACAGGAGAATTCTGGGAAGAGGAAAGAGTCAGTCTGCAGTTGTCACTCAGCCCAGAGGAAGCAAGATGAGAATGCCTCACTGATAAAGGTACCAAGACACATGGCTAACATAGACAAGAATTATGGGCTAATTTAAGATGTAAGAATTGGCTAATAGGCCAATGAGTTTATAATTAAAGTAGGCCTCTGTGTGTTTCTTTGGGACTGAATGACTGCAGGACTGGGCAGGACAGAAGCCTCTGTCAACACTGGTGACTTTTCCAGGCTGCCCTGCACAGCGACTATGGCTGTGGGGAGTTTTTGCATCCCCGGGACACCTGTTCATGCCATCTGCACCCAGGTCGGCACCACATAACTCCCCATCATGCAGGTCCCATGGAAATGGCAGGGACTGGGCCCTCAGCACTCAGGCTGTATATAAAAAGGCAGAGGGGTGCGGAGGAGAGACACCGAGTGCTGCTCTCCCGCTCCTCCTGGACCTCTTCCTGAAGACACTGCAGAGCAACCATGCCCACACGCATCCTCTGACTTCCAAACTATGAGCTGCTGGGCCCCACGAGCAACATGGGATCCTGACTCAGCTGGGTTGCTGCACCCAGTGCCTTCCAGAGCCTGCCACACAGGGGCTCTGATGTAAAGACCTCATGAAGGAGTGAGTGAGTGAGCCAAGGCTAGCCGAATGAGGTGGCCATCTTTAAACCCACCTGGTCCTGTGAACTGCTTGAAGAATCAAAGCAGAACCACAAAAGGTCAAAGCATAAGCTACCAAAGAGAGTTTGCACTGCCCTGGAAGACGGTCCCCGTGCCTCTGAACAAACCATGCAACATCTATCCCAAGCCTCCTGATCAGCCAAGTACTGATGACGCAGGGATGAGCCACCATGCCCGGCTTGTGGGGCCATTTTTATTCCACTGAAGCCAAGAATACCGTGCCTGTACCTCCCACTGTCTGATTCTCCCCTCAGACTCCACAGGGTGCAGCCCCACCCCTTGTCCTCCCCATTCAGAGACTCTGCTCCGGGAGGAGCCTGTTGAGGGCTACACAGCCTAGCAACCTGACCAGCCACCACACCGCCTTCTTTTTCCAGTCTAAAAATAATATCTGACCCCTTGACGGGTCGCACGTTTGTTGCTGGAGTCTTCCTGTGGGCTGGGGAATGTGAGCTGAGGCCATGACCCTTGCCATGATGATACTCCTGGGAACAGTGCGGGGGAACAGCGCGGGGCACAGAGCCATGGGTGCAAATGACCACGTCCTAGTGGTCCATCTCTGGATGGTCCCTGAAGGCTGAAGCCGTGATGCTCAGGGCTTCTGTGAGGAGCTAGGAGGCATCTTAACCTCCTTCTTAACCAGACTGCCTCTTTCTGGAACGTCCTCCCCTTCCTTCATCCCTATGAAAGCAGATCTATTTTTGGCAGCTCCATACAGAGTCGGGTTCTCACACTGATGAAGAAGGAAGGGGAGAGCAGAGGAAATGGTCCCGGAAAGGGGACAGTGTGGGGAGGGATAATCCACCCCGACCTTGTACAAGCTGAACTCTGCCAGCTGCATCCGGAAGAGCCCTGAGCGCTGAGCGGAGCCTATGGGGGCCGCTTTACCCTCTGCTGGGGCTTGAGGTGATTTGGTGACTCTCTTTTGGAAGGGAAGGTGCCTCCTGGGAAAGGTGGGCACCATGCGGCTGGGAGGTGTGATAGGGACATGGAGACATGGATGCCATCCATGTGCCTGTCCTGCCGGGATAAAAACTGAGGACCAAAACCTGACTCGCAGGACAGAGACTTGACTCGGGCTCAGCAAAAGTGGGCAGACTGGCAAGACTAGCTGTCCCTCTCATGGAAGATTGCTGGGTACAAGTTGTCTAACTGTGACGGTAGGTTACTTTCCTCGATGCTAACACAGAACACCTAACAAAGGAAATTCTAGGAGGGCAGGGTTCATTTTGGCTCACAGTTTGAGAGCACAGTGCGCCATGGCAGGGAAGGCATGGTGGCAGGAGCGTGAGGGGTCTCATCTCACCATCAGGAGATGAACGCTGGTGCTGAGCTCCCTTCCTCCACTTTATTCAAGCTACAACTCCCGCCCCTGAGATGGCAACACCTGCAGCCAGGGTGAATCTTCACACCGCAATTATTGCCAGAAATTTCCACACAGACATGCCTAAAGTTTTGTCCCCTGGGTGATTCCAGATCCCATCAGGATCCATCAATATCAGCCATCACGGAAACCATGAGTGTTTATGGCATTGATGGACCCTTAATGGCTGGTCACCAGATACAGGCGATTCTCACCTCCGAGGTTGATCACAGAGCCACACTGCTGCTCTCAAATGGGAGCCGGCCAGCACCCAGTGTGTCAGCCCCTCAGCTTTTCCAAGAGCCCACGTACAACTGTGTGGCTCTGACAGGCAAGTGTACGGAAGACAATTCAACTCAGCTGCAGATGGCCATTTTCAGCCTCCTGGCTAAGCTGAAATGCCTGGGCCCTGGCCAATATCCTTGCCTCTGTTCCTTTTTTATACAAATATTCTTGTTCCCAAGGCTTTTCCTGAAGTTTTTCCACTTTCCTTCATCAACAGGAAATGTCTCTGAACCCTGATTTGAAATCTAACCCCAGAAAATTTACACTGGAAACATGACCCAGACACATAAATCCAGGGAGAGAGAGAGAGAGAGAGGTCCCTATTAGACTGACCCAGGAAGCACAAGAATGTTCTTGGTCTCATTACCCTTCCCATCCTCCAGGAAGCTGGTGAATGCTGGGACATACCCAAGCACCCAAGCACCGTCACCACTGTGGGCATCCCAGCTCCCTTTTCTCGACCCGCCCCACCCCATCCCGGTGTCCCTCACCTGGTAGGCAGCTTCTCTCATGAACTGCTTGGCTGGCTGCTTCCAGATGGCAGGCACGGTGATGACCCATCTGACATCAGAGTTCTCAAAGTCCGAGCCCGCCTGGTCACTCAGCTCCTAACACCAAGAAGAGTAATTGTGTAAATGTAGGGGGGGGGGGGCACTGCTGATTCCCTGGGCCACACCTCCTGGGGCTCTGCTGAGCAGTCAGGAGGTTAGCAGGACTCCGGAGGAGTCTGTGTCTGGTGCCCCACACACAGCAGGGTGCGCCTGACTCTCTCCTTTATCTCCTTCCTCGTCTCCAGCAACCTGAAAACGGCTGTCTCTGTGGACTTAGCTGTTATGAACATTTGGTACAAATGGAATCGTGTGATGTGGCTTTTATACATTGTTTCTTTTACTTTGCAAGCTCAGAGGTTTCTCAGAGGTTATCCACACTACAACATGCACCAGTATTTCATTCCCTTTACACCTGAGTAACACTCCAGTGAGCAGACAGACACACTCGGTTGTCCGTCAGTTGATGGACACTGGAGTTGTTCCGCTTTTTAGTTATTACGAATAATGCTGCTATGAACTTTCATGAAACAGTTTTATGTGCGCATGTTTTCATTTCCCTTACGTGTGTGCCTAGGAGTGGGATTGCTGGGTGATGTCTGTGTTTAACTTTTTCAGGAACTTCCAAATTGGTTCCAAAATGCCGAACCACCTCCCCTCCTGGCCAGCAGTGCCAGAGGACACATTCTACTGTTCTGACCCAGGGCCCACATCTTCTCCCTGCAGGCTGATCATCTGCCTAGATGGTGGGTCCAGCAACCACAGATGGCCTCACAGGAGGCTCACTGCCACCACCCCTCAGCCTCACCTTCAGGGCCTGCTCCTTAAAGTACTGCAGGGCGTACGTGAAGATTTCAAGGGCTTTGACTTTCTTGCCATTTGCGGCTGTCAGGTCTGTGTCCATAGTGAGGTCCTGAAGGGAGAGAGACACACGTGAGAGCGGAAAGGGTGAAGGAGAACCGCACCTTTGTTTGGGGGAGCCGGGAGCCGCTGTTTGGAGACCAGCAGAATCTAATCAATCTCCTATGATAGAAAGGCAGATACAAGAGTGCGCCCCCAGAGGCACCTGTCAGTAATGCAACCTTACCTGCCCCCCCCCCCCCCCAGGAACCTGGCAGTAAGGCCACCCTCCTGTCTAAGAGCTCTGACTGTTCTCTCCAGGCCCCACCTTCATTGCACCTCCTTCCTTCCCTTCCTTTCCCTCTCCCTTTGTTGGATCCTCAGGAGCAGGCATCTCTGGACAATTGCAGGCCCCGGGAAGAACGGATGGGTCGCAGGTGCGACTTCCAGACACCAGCCTTCCCCCCCCACCCCGACCCGGGAGCCCTGTGTTAGCAGCTTAAATCATGCCACTTCACTGCCAAGCAGGAAGCTAGCACGCACGACTCTCTCCTTCCCCGGTGAGCTGCCAGCCAGGTCACTAAAATAGACGAGCTCCTATTTTAAGGCCAGTTCAGTCTAATCTGCTGAAAGCTAGGCATAGCTGCTGCCTCTCTGGCTCTGCCAGAAGCCAAGGCAGCTGCTGTCCATCGTCTTTGGGTAGAGCCAGATGGTGAGAGGTCACCAGAAAAAGGATGAACAGGGTCCCGAGGGGAGAGAGGTTGGGGCGAGAGTGGAAGGAGGCCCCTGAACTAACCTGCTTATTATTAGTGTCAGGAACAAATTAATCATGGACATCAGACTGATGCAGGTGAAGATAACCAGGCTTTGCCTTTGTTTTAGGTAGGGTCACGGGTTACTAATGGGTCCTTGTGGAACCTCTGGGTGCACCCTAAACCACCTACTCATGCTCACTGCTCCCGGCCAGCACCCACTTATTCTGGTGTCCAGCAAAGGCTCAGGGAGGCAGCTGAGCCCCGTGAAGCTACAGTTCACCCTGGGATTCCACTGCCCACTCCTGATAACCAGCGTGGCGTCCCACCTCGAGAAAAGGGGTGGGTCCTTTCCAGCCCAGGCTGGTCCAAGGCCCAGAAATGCAACCTCATGTAAGCCTAGAGCCTTGGGAGGGCTAGATGGCAGTGGTGGTTTTCCCGCAACCTCATGTAAGCCTAGAGCCTTGGGAGGGCTAGATGGCAGTGGTGGTTTTCCCGCCACCTCTGTGCTGCCATCTGCAAATGCTGACGGAAGCTAACGATTGCCTAGGAACGTTAGCTCCTCCTCTGGAAGAATCATGTATGTCTATCACCTCGATCCTTATATTCTCCCTGTGAGCAAGATGCTGTAACTGTCTGCATTTATAAAGGAAGAATAAAGAGGTACAGCAAGGTCACGTGGCTCGGACTAAGTGTCTTGGAGGAACCAGGAATGAAACTGAAACCCAAGGTATGTGCCTCAGAGTCCGTGGTCTTCAGCTAGCTCCCACCTTTCCCATGAAGCTTTGCAGCAGGGATGCCTGTTGGACCTGGGCGTCTCACAGAACATTGGCCTGCCCAGGGTTCCAGAACTGAGGCCACTGTCCTGGCGTTTGGGCCTCTAATAACCGGTCCACGTGTGCTTACCCTCTTGCTCCACATACAGACGGTGGCTTCTCCTCTGATGTTACTGGTCGTTCCTTCCAAACTGACCAGTTAATAGCCACAGCCCTGATCCACCTTCCCATCTTGGGCCTTTAGGCATGAGTTGCTCTTAGTGGAAAGAAGGTCCCTGATCTCCGCAAACCCCTTTGGGCAGCAAGGTGGCAGCTCCCTTACACCCATGTCACAGCTGCGATCTTCTCTGGCCTCCCAGGAACACCCCCTGTCCCCTCCCCCACACCAGGAAGACTGAGTTCACAGACATCTGAGGACCGAGGAGTCACTCACTCCAGGCTGTTTCCAAGACCCAGGCAGACAGGCATTAACTTCCCTTTGGGGGAAACCTGGGGGACTCCAGTTGAAGATCCCGCACACTGAGGTCCCTTGCTCTCCTAGAGAAGCTGGCTCACCCCTGTGGTGTGGAGTTTCATCTTGAACTTCTCCAGGTACAGCCACTGCTTGGCCTCGTTGGGGTCCAGATCGTGGTAGAAGTCCCTGGCGGCGTACCCAAAGCTGTGGAACTTCCTCTCTGGTGTCAGCAAGATAGTGGTCGGGGTCTTCTGGTTGGAAACGCCGGGGTCGCCTCCCTCCCATCTCCTGTCACCAAGGGAAAGCAGAAGTTATGGGTGTTTGAGAACCCCAGTCCAGTCAGCATAGCGGAGCTGAGTGCCTACTGTGTGTGTGTCTGTCACTGATATGAGCTTAGGACCCACTCCGTATCAGCTAACATCTAGACACGCCTCAAATAGAACGAGAAGAGGCAAAAACCAGGTTCTTACTCAAAATAAGTTCTGGGTTCATCTTTCACTCAGTGTTTCCTGAGCAGGTAATATGTCACATGTTGGTGACACAGGGCAGGGCTTAGTATCTTTCAATCTTCCAATAACTCAAAGTTTGTGAGGTCACACACCTTGTTTTTCATTTCCAAGCACTTGGCAGCACCTGTTGAGACTGAGCTGGCTGGAATTCTCTTCTAACTAAGATGGGTGTGAGAAAAAGGATCCGACCTTTCTGACCAGGTGGACCGAGGGAGCTCAGGGAAATGTCCTGAGGGGCCAGGGAAGGCAGAAGTAGCACTGGAGGGGCCCAGGAGACAGGAGTCAGGATAGAATGGGGAAGGAGAGAACCATTAGATCTGAGAGGGAAGGCCACTCCAGGCTGCTCTGAGGTGAGCTGGCCCAGGCAGCTAAGGGACGGTGCTGGTCAGACAAACTGTGGGTCCGTGAGGAAAGGTGCCGTGGAAATAAGAAGGGGAGGACTGGGCTGGGAAAGCAGCAGCAGACTGGAGAGAGCCCTGCAGGGTTGGGTTACATCTGTGAATAATGGGGGTCACTGAAAGCCTAAAGGACGAGAGACGCAGTTGTCAAGGACAAACTGAACCCCGAGGACTGGAGGCCAGAAGGCAGGTGAAGAGGTCAGACCCAGCCTGGGGCAGAGCTGAGAGAGACATAGGAAGAGGGGTGAATGCCAAACAAGACCAGAGGGAGATGGCAGCCATTGTGACGAGGAGTCCAGGAAACCCTGGAGAGGGGAGCACAGAGAGCGACCTGGAGTGCTGGGGAGGAGGGTGGGGAGCACCCAGAAGAGCACGTGCATTTAACTGGAGGGAAAGGCCCTGGACACAACTCCCATAGCTGCGGTGACAAGATGGGATGGAACACTAAGGGATCATCTGGGACAGGCCAGCTATAGACTCAGGCGACAGAGGAGGGCACAGGGAGACAGACACGGATATGCAATGGAGCAGGGGTGGGGTCAGGTCAACCCCAGAGAAGTTTCCTTCTCCGGCACAGAAGGATAAACAAAAGCCAGGGAAATGGTGTGGGAAGCACAGGACACTAGTGTTTCTTATTTCTTTGGGGCCCCAGCCTTCTAGAAGCCAGGGCTGCCAAGAGCATCGTCCCCTTCCCTTCTGAGCCCAGATCTGGGAGCCTCAGGTGTAGACTCAGTGTCAGACACTGGTCCAGTCCAGAAGAGGGAGCAGCTGTGGCCCAGGCTGAGTTCCAACCTGTTCTCGTGAGCATCACTGCCTTCAGCATGAAGAGGCCATCACAGGGCAGATGAGTGCCTCCCTCCTGAGGGACTTCAGCTCAGATGGTTCTGGCATTGTCCCTGGCCAGCTACCCAGCCAGGACACATGTTCTGCCACAGGCTGAGTGCCCCCATAACTGAATGGGGACGTGGGATGACTTCTAGGCTAGGTAGCTCAGTTTTCTGTAAGTGGACACCCCATGAGTGTCTTCCACTCAATCTTTTATTCTTTCATTCCTACAAGTTTTATACATTTACACCCCCACTGTGTGTGGCGTGCGAGCATGCACACGCACACATCCACACATAGGCCAGAGGTAAACATTGATACTTTTCTTAATTGCCCCCACCTTGTTTTTTGAGACAGAGTGTCTTATTGAACAAGACACTCACCAATCCCACCACACTGGCTGGCCGGTGAGTTCCACACTTCACCAGTGTGCCCAGCTTTTCCACGGGTGCCCGGGATCTGAACTCGCGACCTCACACTTGCACGGAAAGTACACTATTCGCTGAGCCACCTCCCCAGGCCCTGAAACCTCTTGATGGCAACAGCCTCAGGCTGAAACACCTCTGGTTTTCGAGAGAAAGTGGGACTCCAGGAGGCCTGTGTAGGGCCCTGGTCTCCCTTATTCCTGGGGTGCATTGGCGGGGACAGTTTGTTATCAGTTAACTAAGCTTCCTGTGTGTTTCCGTGCTATCCCTGCCCCACCTGGTGATTTAGCTGCAGGCAATCTTCTCCATTGTTAATATGGTAATTTCCCACCTTCCTGGGCGGAGAGATCTTTGTGCTGCAGTTAGGTAGAAAAGGGCTTCCCCAAGTCTGAATAAACGGCATTCGCTTGATCTCCTATCGAATGACCCTGGTCTCTGTTTCTTGTGTTCAATCTCCAGGCCCTTGCCCGGACTCGCATTTGGTACAGCTGCGCGCGAACTGTACCGAGGGTGTAACACCAAAACCGGGTGTTACAGGCCTGCTTGACATTTGACATTGTGGAATGCTGTTCTTCTCAAGCACCAGTGACTGGCCCTACCCCCAAGTGGACATGGGTGGGGTGACCAGGACACACGGTGCGCTCACCTCATCACGTGGATGCATTCTGGCTCCTTGGTAAAGCTGTAAGCATAGCCGCTGGATGTGGTCCCAAAGTCGATGGCCACCACCACCAGAAACATCTGCTCTTCCGAGACTGGGTCAGCATTGTTCTGCAAGGGCACAGCAAAGGCACTAGTGGGTGAGGACCAGGGTCAGGGTCAGCATCGTTCTATAAGGGCACAGCAAAGCACTAGCGGGTGAGGACCAGGCCTCCCCTTCTGGAAGAAACCTCTACCCTACCCATTTGGCATTCTTTGCAGGTAAAACACCCCAGCTCAAGCAGACCAGCCTCAGCTCCCACCTACCTGAGTGACCCAAAGAGAGATGGAGACCCTCCAAATCGGGGTGCAGGCCAACTGTCTGAGGGTGCCACCCACAGACCCTTCCTTCTCAGCGGTGCACTGTGGTAACTATGGAAATGCTGACATGGGCAGAAGCTCAACTGAGTGGTCCCTTGTGTGGACACCATCACCCCACTATTGCTGTCCCCAGCTCCCTCTGCAGAAGCCCTGCCACCACTCAGAGCACCCACCAGTGCCTGCTCTATCTCTGCAGTGCTTTCTTTATGTGCACAGGGGCCTCCATGGTGACTCTGTCCAATCCTACAAGCCCATCGTGCCTCACATGACCTCAGGGCCCTAGGCTCATGCTCACAGATGTCCCTCAACTGGGCGGCCACTTGAACAGGCCACCTCAGGTTCCCCAGCTTTTTTTCCCTAAAGGAACGTAGACTTACTTTCCCTTTTCTTCTATTTTAATCCCCGAAGAACACCAAATGATAAAGCCCGGCAAACTTTTGGACCAGGTTACTCTAGCTAAACTGGGGATGAAGACACTACCACCGGCCTCCCTCCTCACTGTCTCCAAGTGCTCCCTCAAGGAGCAAAGGGTACAAAGTCTGACTCTCATGGGACCAGGCCCACAGGTCACTACTTCCTCCGCTGTACTCAGGATGTGGCCAGAGCTACGGGAATCTCCCAGATAGAATACTGAGATTCCTGAGTGTGAGCCGCTTACAGTGAGAGAGCTCTGGGGCAAACAAAGCAAGTCAGCAGCCCCTGGTGAATGGTGCTCCCATGTGCTCCTCACTGGCCTTCGTGTATCCGAACAGCGAGTGCTAAGCTGCCCTTCTGTGGGCTGCCCCTACCACCCATCTTCCCTTGTACTTGAGGACTGCGGAGGGCAAGAACCCATCCCCCCAGACCAGAGGCTGCTCAGATCTCTCCGAGGAAAATCAGGAAAGAAGCAATTCCCTAGCCACGGAGAGAACCTCCGTGGACAAAGCCACGGTACTTCCTTACAGGAAGCTGCCTTGCCACCTCTAGGCTCCGGTCTCTCAAGAGCTCACCCCTCGGTCTGCTCATAGTATCCCCCAGGCTAGTGCCTAAGGAAATGTCAGCCACAGCGCTGAAAGCCTTCCCAGGCCCAGGGTACGGAACGAACGGGTTTGATTGACAGAGTGCACATGCTACCACCACATCCATGTGCACCCAACAACAGGACGTGAAGGACGGCCTAGCAGCCTGCGGCGGGAGAGACAAAGCACAGGCAGTCAGCACAGGCGCATATGCATGCACACTTATTCCTTACCAAGATATGGGAAGGGGACAGAGGTGTGATTCCTGTGTCCCCGAGACTCCGGGCCGGAGAGGGATATGCAGATGTGGGAGCCGTTTCTGAAAGGAAAGACAAGAATTAGATTCTTAAAAGGGACATGGGCCAGCCCAGGGAGCAGAAAAGGGGGGGGCTATGTGACTTTGCTCTCCACACAGGGGTTCTTGGAAGTCGGCTATCATGCTGCATATGGCGAGCTCCCAGCCAGGAAGACAGGGTGTCCCTGCACAAGCCAACACCTTGTGCTTGGCCTTTAGAACTTGAACAACTGGATATCCCTTCCCCTTTTCTCTAAGTGGCCACCAGGCCTGTCACTGTCATGAATTTGCAAGTGCGCACACACACACACACACACACACACACACGCTGTTAAATAGAAGATATTGCTCCGTTCCCAGAAGAGCTCAGCTCCAGGGCAGGAGCTCTGTAATGGAGACCCCACAGTGGACAGGGCAACCTGCACCCTCTGCAGTAGAACGTGGTCCTCTGAGCAAAGCAGCCGTCATCTTCACTGCATCCGCTGTAGCTGTTTGCCCACCTCAATGCGGCCTGTCCGCTACTAACATTCCCCCAGAGAACAAGGGATTGGGGCTCTCACCTGAGAGCCCAGCATGTGTATGCCACTCTGCCCTAATGGCAGTGACCTTGGGGTCTTGGGAGTGCTGGGGTACACAGGCTGGGGATCTGGGAGATCTTCCAGTGTGGCTACGGAGAAGCCATCATCCCCGTGCTGGGTGGCTGCTGGGTGGTCACCCAGGTTCTTGTAAGTGACCCCTCACCCATGCAGTGTAAACCCAATAAACTCATTTCCCCCACTTTGGTCTTTGGTGGAATCATGTGTCGTCACTGGGACCTTATTTTTATTTATTTATTTATATATTGGTTTGGATTTTTCGAGACAGGGTTTCTCTGTGTGGCCTTGGCTGTCCGGTCACTCACTTGTAGACTTTTATAAGGAGAGATGGATGTTGTTTATGTCTCCCCAGGGAAGGAATTATTGCAACACTGTCAGAGAAGACGCGCCGGTTCGCATGTATTCTGGAAGAGCATCTATAGTCCTCAGGCTCCGAAAGCTGCATGAGACACCCCCATCCCAGGGTCAACAACTCCTGGCCACAGAATATGGGACCTGAGTTCAACTCTGAGAGACAGCATCTGATGGCCGATGTACCACCTGCCACTTCTACTACAAGAATCCAGAGATCAGAGAATTCGTGCTTTCAGGGGTACTGAAAGTGTCCAACATTTGCAGGGTGGTGTGTAGCAGCCAAAAGGTTAGCTTCCCTGGCCCTGGGACACCAGGGACACTAAGTCAAACCGAAGAAGGACAAGGACAAAGTAGCATAAATACCATGTTACCCTGGCTCTACCACAATGCTTCAAGCACAGACATTTGCTCTGGAGCAGTCTCAGAGGCCCCCAACGACAAGACACACTGTCCCTGGTCAGTGCTTAAAGACTCCACAGTGTCCTCATGCCCACTGCTCAGGGCTGGCAGGGCCCCAAAGCAACGGAGCAAAGCCCAGAAGCTGCCAACCAATCAGAAAAACAATAACCAGATGCCGCACGCCCACCAGTACCAGGGGCCAGGCGCTACTCTGAATACATTGCCAGTTTGGTGCACAGCTTAATTCCGTGTAGGCGGTGGGTGGGTCGGCTTTATCTGGGAAAGGCTCTCCCCTCCGGGGGAGCATGAGGAATAGCTCCATCTGCTAAATCACTTTGTGTTAATCCCAGGCTCTTGCAGGATATTTTTTCTCTCTCTCTATTTGGTGGGAATTCAAACAACGTCATCTCAGTGGCTCGCGAACAGACTGCGGAGTGGAACGGATCATGAAAAAGCAAATGGGAAGCTTTGAATCTGCAAGTCACCTCCTGTCTGTGAGCTCATGGCCCTTCTCTTCACCGGGAGGCTCAGCGAGTGTGGGAGAGGATGGCCGGCTCCAGTAGCCAGCAGACCAAAACTACCATGAAAGCGGGGTGTGGGAGCACACACCTTTGAGCCAAGCACCTGCAAAGCACAGGCAGGTGAGTTTCTGTGAGTTTAAAACCAACTGGTCTGCCAAAAATATTATATACATATTACAATGAGATTCTACTTCACCCACAAGGAGGAACATAATTTTTAAAAGGAAAGAAAAAAAAGTACAGAATTGGATCTCTCGTGTGTTGCTGCTGAGGGTGTAAACGGCGCAGCTGCTGTGGAAAACAGTTTGGTGGCTCCTCGAAATGTCAGCTACGATCCAGCAATGTTAACTACTTGGAAACAGACTCACAGAGAGATGAGCACGTGAATGTCCATTGCAGCGGTACTCACGATGACCGAGCGGTAGGCGAATGTCCATTGCAGCGGCACTCACAATGACCAAGCATTAGGAGCAAACTCATGTGCCCAACAACGAAGGAGTGGGGAGCAGCAGACTGTGGCTCAGTCAACGCGGTGGAGTAGCCTTGGCAACATCACAACCACGTGCAAAGGGAAGGCCATTCCTATACACACTATAACACCAGTGGACCGGGAAACTACTGAATAAGCTGGACATGAAAGGGCGAACAGTGTGTGATTTCACTTGTATGAACTGTCCAGAACAGGCGAATCCAGAGGCACAGGAAGTAGATGAAAGGTCGCCAGGAGTTATTGCTCACGAGTCCTAGTTCTTGACGGGGCAAGGAAAGTTTTGTAAATAATTACTGACACCGTGGCACTGTGCTGTGAGAATAAATCATGCCGCTCAACTGGCTGCACATTTTAAAAGCATTTCAGTGGAAAATTCTGTGTTATGCATACTCTAACATAACAACAATATTTATGAAAAAGTCATCTTGGCTGGTGATGTACCTCAGCTTGGAGATGCCAGCCTAGCATGCACAGTATCCTGGGTTTGATCCCCAGGACCACAGAGTGGCTGGAACCTGTCATCCCAGCGCTGTGAAGGTAGAGAGGCCAGAGAATCAGATGTTCAAGGTCCTCCCCAGGCTACCTGGAGCAGCCTAGGCTACTTAAGGCCTTGTTTAAAAGCAAAACCTCAACTTGTCTTAGTCATCAGAGGACACAATATTTCCTGTACCTATTAGTTCCCAAATCCCAGGGTGCTTGAAAAGAGAGGGATGTACACTTGGCTGGAGTGATATTTTGTTTGTGATCTAACAAATAAAGCTGGCCTGAAGATCAGAGTGCAGAGCTAAGATCCTAGTTAATCATAAAGGCCAGGCAGTGGTGGGGCATGCCTTTAATCTCAGCACTCAGGAGACAGAGGCAGAGGGATCTCTGTGAGTTCAAGGCCATCCTGGGCTCCGTGAGATTGAACCTGTCTATAAGAGGAAGAGAGCTCACACAAAGATGGTCCCAGCACTTGGAAGTCACACGTCTTTAATTTCGGCACTAGGAAGGTGGAGACAGGAGTGATGTGGCTGGGTGGAGAGAGGAATATAAGGCAGGAGGAGACAGGAGCTCAGGGCAGTCTGAGGTTTCGTAGAGACAGCATTCAGTCTGAGGATTCGTAGAGACAGGACCGCCCCTTTCAGTCTGAGCATTGGCAGAGGTGAGAACTCTCTGGTGGCTGACTGTTCTGTTCTCTGACCTTTCAGCTTTCACCTCCTAATATCCGACTCTGGGTTTTTATTATTAAGGACAATTAGAATTCGTGCTACACTTAGCTTCTCAGCTAGTCCACAGAACACCCCAGCTTTGTGCACCCCAAGCTCAAGGCACCCTGCTCTATAAAAGCTAGGGGATTCCTCCGTCTCTGCCTAAGGGCCCAGGCAGGCAATCGACCCAGCAGCTCCATTTTATATGCGACCCCTGAGGTACCCTCAGGAGAGTTGCCGTCCACCCAGGAGCTACCCTCTGTCCACCTGCTCCCTCGAAGGCCTGAGGCCATGTGTCCACATTTGCACAGAAGGTCTTGGAAGACACCAAACATCTAATTGCCCAGAAAATCTGGTGCTGGCAATTAGCAAACAAGCTAGCGCGCACAGACGATGCATCCACCCTGCTGTTGCCTGGTTCTAATTATCCCATCACTCAACCCTTCTTGAGCATGGCTTTGTCCCGCCGACACGCAGAACGGCACACGTCCAGCCATGCGTTGAACACGCACGTGCCTTGGGACCTCAGGGGACACAAGGATATACAGAGGGCGAAAAGAAATCAAGGAGGCGGTTCCCCTCCTCCCCTCCCCCACTGCATATGGCACAGTATTAAAAAAAAAATCATTTGACTTGCTGATCACTTTCCAGGCCTACAGGCAGTCGAACTCCATGGACCTCTTCCATCAGAAATTAAAAGTCAGCTGCACTGCGCAGATTTCAAAGCGATCTGCAGAGATGGGGTGAGGTGGTAACATTTTCACAGATATGCGCGAAACACTCTTCAAAACTCTAGGGGGGGAAATGGGATGGAGTGGCCTACCTATGGTATTCCCAGGGGGGTAACAGTGAAAAGCTTAATTCCTGTGCATGGATAGTCCCAACCAGAACTGACCTCTTTCATGCTGTATACTAATACGGATGACCAAACACACACACACACACACACACACACACACACACACACACACACACGGACGATGGAGCACTAACCATTTCCTGATACACAGGAGATAACAGACACCAGAGCTGGTCTATGAGTCTACGGGCATAGGGAACAAGAGTATTTCTCTGGCTATCACTTAGACAAAGGCCATCTACAAAGGGAAATACCATGTGTCATTAGTTCATGGTTGATGTGGGAGTGTCATATATCAATCTGTTGATTTCATTGGCTGAGTAATAAAGAAACTGCTGGCTCTGATAGGTTATAAGATAGGTGGGCGGAATAAACAGGATAGGATGCTGGGTGGAAGAGGAAGTGAGGTCAGACTCTGCGCTGCTTCCAGAGGGACCGGACAGACCCGACAGCTCTGCTGAAGCAGAGACGCCATGCTCAGCTCTCCCAAGCAACTCCAACCCACGATGAACTTAGGCTAGAATCTTCCCGATAAGCGCACCTTGGGGTGCTTACACACATCATTAGAAATGGGCTAGTCCAGGTGCGAGAATTAGCCTGTAAGGGTTAGAGTTC